GCCCGCGTGAGCGCTGGCCGCAGGGCCTGGAGGAGGCTCCCACTGCCCGCGATGCGATGTGCCCGATGTGAGCTCTGGCTGCAGGGTCTGGAGGAGGCTCCCACTGCCCGTGATGTGCCCGGTGTGAGCTCTGGCCGCAGGACCTGGAGGAGGCTCCCACTGCCCGCGAGCTCCCACTGCCCGCGATGCGCCTGGCGTGAGCTCTGGCCGCAGGGCCTGGAGGAGGCTCCCACTGCCCGCGATGTGCCCGGTGTGAGCTCTGGCCGCAGGGTCTGGAGGAGGGCTCCCACTGCCCGCGATGTGATGTGCCCGGCGTGAGCTCTGGCCGCAGGGCCTGGAGGAGGCTCCCACTGCCCGCGATGTGATGTGCCCGGTGTGAGCTCTGGCCACAGGACCTGGAGGAGGCTCCCACTGCCCGCGATGCGCCCGCACCGCCCTGACTCAGTGGAGGGCGAGCGTTGCGTACTCGCTGGCCAGGGTCTGCCTGGGCAGTGAGGAGGGTGTCCCCCGGGTGAGGGCACTGCAGCTCAGCTGGGAATAGGTCACCTCCTGCGGTCCTACAGCCTCAGAGGTCTGGGGAAGGAAGGGGTGGTGAGAGGGTGTCGTGGAGGGCCGAGGGAGTGCGGGGCAGAGGAGAGCGCTCACCTGTCCGTCCACCCCAGCCTCTGGCTGGCCTGCTCTCTTCTGGCTGCCCTGCTCTCTTCGCAAAGCCTGGAGGGAAGAGAAAGTTGCTGTGGACAACCTGTCTGTGTCCCGCACCCCCAACGTTCACAGGGGAGCCCCCAGTCCCCCACCCCCACCCTGGGGTGGGACCTGAGCCCCAGCGGGGTGGGGCCTGGAGGAGGAGCCTTGAGTGTGGAGCGCTAATGATGGGCTAGCTCTCTTGCCCGAGAGGCCGGAGAGCTCGTGCCATGGGAGGACGTGGGCAAAGGCAGCGGTCTGCGAGCCGGGAAGAGCCTCACCGAACGCGGACTCGGCCGGCACCTCGAGCTTGGACCGGCCCTCTGGAAGTGGGAGGAACACGGTCGTGGGTTACCCAGTGTCCGGGGTGTCCTTAGAGCAGCCCGAGCGGGCCAGGGCAGGCCATGGCATCGGAGGAGGGTCGGATGTCACAGGCGGGAAGGGAGGCTGGGAGGCTCATGGTCCCGAGACGAGCCACACGCCTGCCCGCAGCGCCTGCTCTCACCCCTCCGCGTTCTCAGCACACGCCCACCAGTCCCTGCTGCGACCTGCCCCACCCTGGGCCCCGTAGGCTTCCCTGGCCCTCAGGACCTACCATTTCTGTCTTTGCGGCGGCAGAGGATGAAGATGAGGATGAGCATGAGGACAAGAAGCGCGAGGGCCACTGGGATGCCAATCAGAATGTCCCTCCGAGGGCTCTGGTTGCCGGGCGGGGCTGCAGAGGAGAGGCTGTGCTTGAGCCGCTGCCCTTTACACAACCTCTCCACACTGGGCAGCTACTGTGCGCTCAGTCCGGCCACGGCCTGTCCACACCTACCGCCCCCACGCTTCAGGCCACGGCCCAGCCACGCCTGCAGCCCCTGGCCCTCAGACCAGCCACGGCCCCTCC